AACCCCATAAAAAATGAAAAATAGGATTACAGAAAAAAATCCAGCTTTGATTTAACATTATATGTTATAGTCCTTACAGTTTTGATAGTCTTTTTTAATTTTTTTAGAAATTTTTATTTTTAATGGGGATTTTCCCATAAAACCCCATAAAATAACGGAAAAATATGATTTTCCCAAAAATGGCCCGAACGATTTTGATAAAAATTTAGTATGTTATAGTCCTTTATATTCTGAACAAAATGGTACAAATCCCATTTCTGTAAAAATTATGGTTCAAAAGTTATGGTCAAATATGTTATTTTCCCATAAAAACCCCATAAAAAATGAAAAATAGGATTACAGAAAAAAATCCAGCTTTGATTTAACATTATATGTTATAGTCCTTACAGTTTTTATAGTCTTTTTTAATTTTTTTAGAAATTTTTATTTTTAATGGGGATTTTCCCATAAAACCCCATAAAATAACGGAAAAATATGATTTTCCCAAAAATGGCCCGAACGATTTTGATAAAAATTTAGTATGTTATAGTCCTTTATATTCTGAACAAAATGGTACAAATCCCATTTCTGTAAAAATTATGGTTCAAAAGTTATTGTAAATTATGTCATTTTCCCATAAAACCCCCATAAAATAACAGAACAATCGGATTTCCCAAAAATGGCCCGAACGATTTTAATAAAATTTAGCATGTTATAGTCCTTTAAATTCTGAAGAAAATTGTACAAATCCCATTTCCGTATATTTACTCTCACCGCTTACACTTGATAAAGGTTGTTGACAAACTTATGGGAGAAAGTATGTGTCAGAATGCTGATACCATTTATTTTGATTTGTTTTGATTTTAATCCCATGTTATTTAAATGGGCCAAAATCGTACTTTGAGGGCTTGCCAAGGGTTTATGGGTCAACGTACCGACTTGAGACCCTCAAAAGGCACATCTACACGCTAAGGGCTTTCACACAACATAAAGAACATTAAAATTGAGCCAGTGGTTTGGGCTGTAGGTCCGTCAACATTTAAGGAGAAGAAGGAGAACACGGAAAATTTGTGAATTTTCAAACTAGTTTTTCTTTGCTCAAACACAACCGTTTTTTAAATTCTTTTTTAGCGAATTTCCCTATAGGGAAGTAGCTATTACCGTAGGTCTCATGGTAAGACTTAGGCCCGGGACCGATTTACTTTTTCATTTTGATGTCCCCAGAGGCCAAAAACACCATTCGTTCAAATTTTTATATATGTATATATATATATATATATATATATATATATATATATATGTGTCCGTGAACACGATAACTTGAGTAATTTTTATCCGATTTTGATGAAATTTGGTTTGAAGGTGTAAAGCGGGATAAACTTGAATGAGTTCGCGATCCAGCATGATCGGACCATGGGAACAGGGTTTTATGGGGGGTTTTATGGGGTAAAAATTGGTTTTTCTCACTTTTGACCCTCAAAACTCAAAATTTCCCAATTTTTCTATAAACCTTCTTAAAGAGCTTAAAAAAACAAACAATTCAGTATATCAAAGTGTTTTTGTACGGTTATTGGTTACGGAGAAAACTAAAAAAATGGTAAATTTAAAATTCCCATGTTATTCTTATGGAGAATATTGTAAAATGTTGTTGTTTGCTTGTTTATGGATATATTTTGATCAAACTTGGCAAATTTATTTATTTTATAGTAAGCTATCAATATTTTACTAAAAACACACTTTATTAGTTTCCTTGTAGCAGCAAACCTAGGTACTCGTTAAACCTAATGTTATTTAAATAGATCTATTGAAAATCAATTCAGCCAAATGGAAATTCGCTTAGACGGCAGGTTTGCTGCGGCGGGGGTATTTTATTTTGTTGAGAATGATTGCCCCTATCCAGTAGATGAACAATTATTTTAATAGCTTTTGTTTCTTCAGAGCTATAGACGAGTAAAAAAGCCACTTTGTCACGTCATGTATATATACACTGCAGCAGCTGTGTACCGCTGGGGGACTTGGCGGGGCGGAACGCTGCCGCGTTCCTTAATAAAGCATTTTTACTTTCTCCCCCTATACCATAGTATATGGAGAAAGTATTGTTTTCGTCAAAATTTTCGAGTTTGAGTTTTGAGTGGATATATTCGTTTTGGGTCCCCCTGGACCTAAAAAAGTAGTTTTCGAAGTGATGTCTGTCTGTGTGTGTGTGCGTGTGTGTGTGTCTGTGTGTCTGGATGTGTACAGAGCTAGAGACCACACCTGTGGTCCGATTTCGATGAAATTTGGTATGTAGGTTCTAATCCATGGTATCTCCATGCGTTTTTTTTCATTTTTTTTTAATTTTGATTTTTAATGGGAATTTTCCCATAAAAACCCATAAAAAACCGGAAAAAAAGGATTTTCTCGAAAATGGCCCGAACGATTTTCATAAAAATTTAGTATGTTGTAGCCCTTTAAATTCTGAATAAAATGGTACAAATCCTATATCTGTAAAAATTACGGTTCAAAAGTTATGGTCAAATATGTTATTTTCCCATAAAAACCCCATAAAATAACAAAAAATAGGATTTTAGAAAAACATCCGGTTTTGATTTAACATAGCATTTTAGGTACAGTTTTGATAGTTTTTTTTTAATTTTTTGGAAATTTTTATTTTAATGGGGATTTTTCCATAAAACCCCATAAAATAACGAAAAAATATGATTTTCCCAAAAATGGCCAGAACGATTTTGATAAAAATTTAGTATGTTATAGTCCTTTATATTCTGAACAAAATGGTACATATCACATTTCTGTAAAAATTACAGTTCAAAAGTTATTGTAAATTATATAATTTTACCATAAAACCCCCTTAAAATAACAGAAAAATCGGATTTTCCCAAAATTGTCCGAACGATTTTGATAAAAATTTAGCATGTTATAATCCTTTAAATTCTGAACAAAATTGTACAAATCTCATTTGCGTATACAGTTATTTACTCTCACAACTTACACATGATAAAAGTTTTTGACAAACTTATGGGAGAAAGTATGTGTCAGAATGCTGATACCGTTTATTTATAGTTTGATCATTGGATTTAACATATGGACCAACACGATCCGGGTGACATTTTATTGCGAAGCATTTGTTTTGGCTTGAACTGTTAGATACTGTATTTCGAAGGTTTATATAATAGCATTGACTATTGGAGTTGTATTAATAGTCAAAGATAATAGTTTTGCCAGCATATCTGAAAATATGCAAACCAACTGCTGTTCTTATAAGAAGGTTTCAACTGACTACGATAAGATCATCGTGCGTAGAACGGGCACACAGCTAGTGTGATAAAAAATGGATGAAAACTTGACATAAATCGCACAAATCTGCATTTTTGAAAGTCCGTAATTTTATTTACAAAGTAGTGAGGCCATATTTAAATGGCTAAAGACACTCTCGCCAATCCATTGTATACATTAAAATGACTTGGACATTGATAGGTACCTACTCTCGTTTTCCTGGAGAAGATAGCGTAAAATGCCATCTTGAGTGTTACAGACAGACAGAAATAGAGATAAGACTCGTTTCTGCTACTTTAATGTATAAAACGTAAAAATAACCTAAACATATATAATTCTGAGCAATGTACAGACAAAACTCTAATTTTATTTATATAGAAGGAGAATAAAACATACAGAACTGAAAACCGAAACAATATGAATGAAAAATCTATATCTGTATATCATAAGCGGAGTCAATATTGTCATAGTACAGTAACCAAATTTTCGTAAAAATACAAATAGGCCTACCATAAGCTGTTCCCAAACAAAACAGCTGTTACAACACCACTTGCGACGTTACCACTTCGAAGGCCACGGCCTGGAGTTAAAGGCGGCCGTGCATCAGCTCATTAATTCACACTTTATTGATTGAAATTTAAATTTATAAACATAAATTTATAAAAATATTGAAAATAAAACATACAGAATTGAAAACCGAAACAAGATGAATTAAAAATCTATATCTGTATATCTATATGGGAACTAGGCTTTTTAATCTTCTACCAAACAATCTAAAATCAATAACTGACACTAAAAGTTTTATTAAATCACTAAAAAAATATTTTGTTTGAGTTAAGCCTCCGAATCACTGATCAAAACGTGTACTGGTGAAATTACCTGCTGTCAAGTGATCCTTTTGACCTTGAAAGGCGACCGGTTTCGATCCTCACGGGATCATCTTCAGGCGGACGTCGTCATCGTCTTTTCGTTCTTGCGAACACGTCGTTTTTTAAAAAAACATTGAGGTAACCGTTTTTAACATTTAAAACACAAAAAACACAACACGAAAAATGGCCATTAACTATTATGGGACCGATCGGTGGAGCGGCGGGCGACACGGAAGTTGAGTCTAGACTGACCGCTGCAAGCCGGTGTCATTGTTTACTTGCCCCTCCCCTAATCTTTCTTATCAGGTGCACGCTTTTGTTTGTATCCATTTTCAACTATGTTTATTGCTGTGTCGAATATAATGTTAGATGCGAAAGAGAGCTTGTCGTTCAAAACATTTTGTGGGTCATGTTTTACGGCTTTGTATATTTCGAACTCCTCAATTGGCCCTTTATTGCATTTATGGAGTATTTCTAAATTATGTTCGATGTTACTGTAGCTGTGGTTGTAATCAATCAGATGGTTGGCATATGCTGAGTTTGATTTTTGTCTTGACTGTTTTGGCAAATGTTCCTTAAATCTGGTATTAAATGACCTTGCGGTCTGGCCTATGTAAAAACTAGGACAGTCGTTACATTTCAGTTTATATATTCCGGTTTGTTTGTTATTTTGAGGCTTATCTTTGAGAATACTGGCTAGTTTGTTGGATGTTTTGAAGGAGAGTGTGATGTTATTTTTGGACATTTCATTTTTAATTACATTATTTAGTGAGACTCCATATTCCATAGAAGCATATTTTTTCCGTTCATTGCCTGGTTTTGTACCCTCGTGTTTTGTGTGATGTCTCTGGATCATTTTGTCGAACATTTCGCTTTTATATCCGTTGGATACAGCTATAAACTTTATGATATTTATTTCATTTTGGTAGTCTTCTGGGCTTGTAGTGTTATATAGTCAATGCTACAAGCCGTATCGTTGCGGTAATGGTGTTCCCTCAGCCAATAGAATGCTCTCATTTTGACCGTATTAAAAATACTGCAGCTGAAGCTGAAATAAAAATTCTGCGACCGTGCGACCAGGCAGGACAAGACCTTACAGACCTAGTGGCAGCTGAAGTGTTATTTTAATTTTATTATTATTATTGATTAAAGGCCTACATACATTGAAACTAAGTTAATTTTAAATCTTAGAAAAGTTTATTTTGGTCATGTCATCTAATTTGAGAGCTGAAGATGTTTTTAGTCGAGTTAGAGATGAATTAAATAGAGATAAAATACAACTATGGTTAGATCCTTTTTATGATGAAAAAGATGGTGTTGGAATTAACCAGAAGCAAGCCCTCCAGGTAATATAAATATAGAGATTACAACTTTGTTTTCTATAGGCTTAGGCTATGGCATTTGTTGGTTAGATCTGATAGTAAACAAATCAGAAAAGTGTATTGCCAATACATAACAAATTATGTTAAGTTAGGTGTAGGCCATCAGTTACAATCGATAGGGAGCCTAGCTCCATAACTTAAGCCTAGCAAAGTGCTTGTCTTAATACGTTTGCTGCTGACGACGTCGATCGGAGTCATGCCTTACTGGCGCAGCGTGCGTATGACTCCAGTTAGAGTCACGGTGCAGTGTTATACAAGTTTTTCTACTGTGACCTTCACATTTATCGGGGATTAACTAAACTAGGGATGTCAGCATGTTGTACTGAACCTATACTTTAATTTGGTGTAGGGCCTAGTTTGGGTTAAGGTTGGTAGTAAAATTTCCCATTAAATCCCTTCTGGCAACGCTTTTTGTCCCGTTTTCAGGGATTTTCTCTCTTCGAGACACATTTCAATACCACTGGTTACTGATCCAGGCCGTGTTGCTATCTGTACGTTTTTCAATGAACAACGTGCACTCTCGGGGTAACACAGCACCATCACAGCCACTGTTTTGCCGCTGTCAACAAATAGCCTAGAAGTCTCTATCTTAAAAATTTGGATTCAATTCCATATCTGTTGGCACAAACAACCAAATGAGTAATATTGATTACCGTATTCGATTGTTTAATTCGACCCTATATCGTTTGGTTGGTTAGGTTAGGTTAACCAAACGATATTAAGTTTATCGAATAATCGATTATAGCCTATCGACCGATATTTTCATTTGGTTTTATGTGCCAACAGATATGGAAGTGTACCCACAGTTTTGATGACAGTAAAAGTATCCTAATATTATATCACAGATTAGCTTGATTTTAAAAAACTAACTTACAACCATATTTTTATTTAGGCTACTCTCTGTAAGAGCTCTTTGTTTGGGTACTGGTAGTTAATATAACTTATTTATGCTTTGGTTCACTAATTCATGCCACCGGTAATGAAAAATATGCATTCTTAAGTTATAACTAGGCTGTTTAAATAGATAGTGTAGCCTAGATACTTGTACGAAGCCTGAACAAAAAAGTACATTAAGGAATTAACTGCTTTCCTATATAAGAAAATGCGCTAAGAGTTACACAGTAAGCTTAATGGCAGGTTAAGCAAGTAACATTTTGTAATAGCTACGGTACCTAGCCTAGCGTTTTGTGTTTACATGATTTTCTTGTTGATTTAACTTAGTATGTTATCAGCCTACTCATTAAAACAGATGTTTAAGACTGTAGTTATATATATTCCAGGTCCTAAGTAAAAGAATCAGCGAAAAATTAAACATAGATGAAGGTCAGTGTTTACCTACACTGATGGAACTTCAAAATCATGCTCTTGACCGCCTTAAATCGAATCAAATCTTCAAAGAATCTGGAATTGCAAATCTCAGGGTGAAAGTATCCAGTGATGTATCGACAACTCTGTCAGTGGACATCTTGTTGACAGTAAACACTGACGCTCTAATTCAAGAAGTGGCAACAGCAACTCATTTGCCTCAAGAAAGGTAGGCAGACATATTTATTTAAATTTTATTTCAACTACAAAGGCTGTCTGAGGAATATGGTAAGTTATCCAACAAACTCCAGTAGCAGCTCAAATCATAAAAAAAAATGCCTTGTTTAATTCACTGACTACAATTCTAGACGGTTCCAACCCCCATGCGACGATTAGCCTAGTCTTGTCATAGTAGTCAATAATAATTTGAAATTTAAGGTAGGCCTATTCCAATATAAATACCCCCACTTAAACAACCCTAACTTATAGACTAAGCAAATTTCCATTTGCCTGTTGATTTAATTTTCACTAAAACATTTTATTAAAAATGTCGCATTGATTCCCTTTTTAAATAAGTTAAGTTAAAACTAGTGTACCTGTTGCTCCAATTCGAGTACGGTAATTGCTAAGTATTACCTAGGCGTTATTTTAGAATGAATAACAGTCATAGGCCTAATTTCCGATGACTTTAAAAGAGTCTAGTCAAAGATTATGGAAATACTCACAATGTACATAACACTTCAATATTTAATCAATATGTCTTGTAATGTTGTAAATACCTACCTATCTTATTATTCAAAAGCTGATCTTGTTTTTTAGTATTTTCTACAAATGTTTCTTACTCATAGCCGCATTAGGTTGTCCTTAGTAAAGATTATAAATTATTAAAAAAAAAACTATTATTTTTATATTTCTTCTACTTGGTGGTCTTCTATGACTTTCCTATGTTTCCATGGTTTTCAAATCAGCTCTTTCATTGCTCAAGAAATGCAGCAGAGTTAATTGAAGGGTTCAGGGATGAAGGGGTCAAGTAACAATTTTGTAAAAATTGAGTTAAATGTATGGATGAAGGGTACGTAAGTGATGTTCTATTTAGTACACTGACTCCCATAGTCCTAAGTATAATAACAGCTGAGTTATTTTTTAACTTAGGGGTTAAGTACAGGAAATGCGCGCAAATGGAGCGTATAAAGGTGGTAAGTGCTTCACTTGCCCCCTTCATCCACTTTAAGTTTCACTTACACCCTACATCCATACTCTCAGTGTGCTTCACTTGCCCTCTTTATCCACGTAAAGCTTCACTTACACCCTTCATCCATAACTCTTTGTGCTTTACTTGCCCACTTCATCCACTTTAAGTTTGTTTTCTTGTAAGGGGTATTATACCAGCAAAAATTGACAGGAAAATTGCAAAATTAAATAATCAGAATCATATGCAGTACTGTTTGTTTATTTAACCATTTCATCAGGATTACCACTGTCATATACTTAAGTTTGCTGTTTAGATCAACACTGTACTTTTCCTGTCAATTCATAAATGTTTTGCTCTGGAGAGGACGGATAATAGGCCTAATGGCTCGACTGGCAACCCTGTCCGTCTCAGCCTGCTGTAGTGAATACGTACATAGGAAACAACAGTCGTCTGAAGCGTGCTTTTATTACATTGAAGTTTTTTTTTTTTTTTTGCATGAATTGCAATTAAATATACTACTTAGATAGAGCCTAAAAAATATACTCATTCAGATTTTTTTTTAATTGGGCTATTATTATTTTATTAGCTTTATTGTTTTTGTGTATAGTTAAATGTTTTCATTTAGCCTAATTGTATAGCAGCTCTTGTAGTTTAAGCCTAGGATACAACTTACAACATCAGGTTATTACAACATCGGTAATAACCCGTTCCAATCTTTGATGACGTAAGATCCAGACATTATTACTAGCCTACATTTACTGCTAAGTTTATTAATTTTGTAATTTGTTTAGGCTTAATGCAAAACATCTGGTTACAGTATCATAAAAGACAACCCCCACAATCATGAAAACAATATCAAATCAATGTGTTACTAAACTTTCTAAAATTCATTTTCATAGCCCCAGGATTGCGTAATATGACATATAATGGTTAAAACATACCTCGTCAGACAATCCTTAACATGTAGTGTCGAAGTTGCTACATATGTTTCGGCGGTTATTTACTGATCTCCGCCATCGTCAGGCAAACAAAAGGATCCACTTGATGTGTCGTCAGAATAAATAAATAAAACACACATTTTACAAAACATTAAAACGAAAATGATAGGCCTAACAATTACACACACTGCCGTGGACATGGCAGGAAGCAGACTGAACATTATGTTGTGATGTGACTTGACTCCGGGCTGTCGTCTGCGTTATCAACAGCTGATATTGGTCTATTGTAGTGACGGAGGAGAGTATTGAAAATATAATGAGATTCATAGTTGAGTTTTTCATTCAAAATTTGTGTGCTGTCCTTGGTTTTTATGTCTTTATATATTTCAAATTCTTCCAGAGTGTTTAATAAATTTCCTTTCCCACAGTAATGAAGGATGTCAAGACCATCATTTATATCTAGCATATCATGTTCGTTGTCGATGATGTGTTGAGCGAATTTAGATTTCTGCATTTTTAATTTAGGGGCTGGTCGGTGTTCTTTATACCTGGTTTTAAAAGGCCTCCCGCTTTGTCCTACATAGGTGCTCGGGCAATCGGCGCATTTTATACGGTATACACCTGTCTTCTCATACTTATCACCTTGCGGGTGTTTACCTTTAGATACGTTTCGTAGCCGATTGGAAGTTTTAAAAGCCAGTTTGACACCATGTTTACTCAGATCTTTTTTCAGGTAGTTGTTTATTTGGTGGTTATACTCGACACAGCAATATTTTATTCTGTTATTATCATTATTTGTTGGCTGGTGACATGTATTGTTCTTTTTCTTTATAATGATTTTGTCCACCATATCGGATTTGTATCCATTGGCCACTTCAATGTGCTTGATTACATTCAGTTCTTTTGTGTAATTTTCTGGACTTAGTGGGACATTTAGAAGTCTGTAGATCATCGAGTTGTATGCGGCCAGTTTTTGTGAATATGGGTGATAAGATGTGCTATGAATGGTCTGGTCTGATGTTGTGGGTTTACGGTAAATACTATATACAAATTTATTGTTATGTTTCTCAACAGTGAGGTCCAGAAAATTTATTTTGTTGTCTACTTCCTTTTCCACAGTAAACTTAAGATTCGGTGACATGGAATTTAAATATTGGTGGAGTAAATCAAGTTGCCGGTTGCTGCCATCAAATATTACAAAAGTGTCATCTACATATCTAAAGTAATTCAGTATTCTATTTACATGTTTGTTTTTGTCTGAAAAGATAAGTTCATTTTCTATACTGTTTAAATAAATTTCTGACAGGATCCCTGAGAGAGGGGAGCCCATGGCAAGACTACAAATTAGTTTGGAGAGAAATTGCAAAGTTTCTTATTTTTAGAGTCAATAATGGGAAAACGCATTTCATCCCATAAAACCCCCTCAAAACAAAATAAACGGTAGGCCTAGTAGCAATCTGACATTTAGTTTTTTCAATTCACTTGTCAACAACCTTTATCATGGGTAAGTGATGGGAGTACCGGTAACTATGATATTTTATAGGGAAAAATCTCAAAATTTGCACAGTAATTTTTACAACAAGGGGGATTGCACTATTTTGTTTAGAATTACAAGGACTATAAAAGACTATCTTTAATCAGAACCGACTTTTTTTTTTAGAAAAATCAGATTTTCCCTTATTTTATAAATTAAGTTAGGCCTAGTTTTTTGTAGTAAACCCGCATACAGAACACAACGTTAACCTTTAACCCTCCGAGTGTCACGTGTTTTGGCCTTAATGTCAGCCTATTTTTTGCTCATTTGCAAGGTTTTATTAAAACTGATCTGAGAAGCTTAAAAACAATGTTAATTATACTGTTCTATATACCATTTCGTTTGGAAAATCTTGGGCTTCAATATTATATATAAAACATAAGGAAGATTTAAAAAAAAAAAATTTTTTTAGGTAAAAAAATGTATAATTTTGAAAATTTTCAAAAAAAAATAAGTTTGCGCTCAATGAAATTGTATAAATTATAGGCCTATAAATATTTGAAAATAGCCACTTTGTTCTAAATTTTATGAGGATTACAAATCTATAATAATACAAGGAAGTAGATTTGCAAATAAAAAAGTTATGGGCAAAAAACAGATTTCAGTACATAGCGTTTAGCTAAGAATGCATAGCCCAACCATAGCTAGGAATCTGGCTGATAATTTACATCAATATCACTACCTACTTCTTCAGGATCATCAACCAGCACTTCAAAACCACTTAAATCTTCTTATAATGCACCACGTATATCACTACTTTTGATTTTTAACACTAAAACAATGATAAACGTAATAAAACACATCAGACATCGGTCCGAGGGTAACCTAGCTGTTTACAAATACACGCACGTCAGCTCAGTCAGCTGTCTGCCACAATATTTTCGGAACTAAAATGAATAGTGCTTAGAGACAGACCTCTGGAGAAAGCTTAGAATATTACGGACAGAACGATACCTAACTCAATCCAGTACAGTCCGATTCAGTTAGTCATAGAGCCTTCGCCGTAAACAGTGTTCGCGAGTCGCTGCAGCGACGCACGACACTATACAAAGTGCGTTACGCGTCGCTGCAGCGACGCATGACACTCGGAGGGTTAATAACGATCTAATACTGTTCACTTGTTCAGTAAAAAAACATACACATATCGTTTTGGGTTAACACTGGTTATGAAAATCATAATCGGTTTGAGAGTCGCCTTATTTGATACCTAGAAGCATCCGTCCACCCATATGATATCATAGATCCAAACTCACTGTTTAATACAACTTTTTACTGTGGGTAAAGTGCAACCGATCGGGGATAGAAGCACCTACACATGAACTGTTGACTTCTAAGGCCGGAAACTAAACATTCAAGTTGAATCCTGTTGAAGGTCATCCGCCCGTGACAATATGACTCATCTTCCTGAGACCGGCCAGAAAATTCGCTGGCCGAACTAGAGGGAGTCTACTGTATGCGCTCAGATTTAAACATGCGAGAATCCATTTAGATTTGATGGTTAGTGTTTTTCTTGAAAAACCAAAAAAAAATGTTGAAAGCTGGAAAATGTAAGAATCAACAAACTG